ATATATATATATATACATATGTATGCACATGCTACTTACATAGGTATGTATGTCGATCAAACCACTTTAGAAGTAGTGAAGGATTTTCATTGTTGAGGCTGCTCATGACAATTTGTTGCGAAAAAGTTTCGCAGTTTTAGAGTTTTCCTTTTTCCTATTTTTTTTTTTAATTTGAGTTGTGTATTTGATTGCGGCCTTTTTTCTCTTGAGTAGTAGGCGCAAAGTGGTGAACTTATTTAGTTTATTTCGGTGGAAAAATACTATTTAAGTCAATCTTTGGGCAACGATTAATATAATCATCGATAACAAAGTCGATTATTATATAGAACACGCCATCGTAGAAATGTACATCGATAGATTCACTAATGGCAAATTTTATCAAAATGTCGACCGATAAATATATCGATAAATAAATTAATAACGTTTTAAACAGCTATATCGAGATATAAATCGAAAGGAACATTGATTAATATATGCAAATATCTATAGAAAGTCCATAAATTGGTATATCTATTACGTTATCTTAGAAATGTACAAATTTTTCGAAGAACCTATTATTGCTAAAATTTATTGAAATATCGATCAGTAAAATTATCCATGAATGACGATTTAAACTGCCATATCGAAAAAATATATCGAAAATAATTTTGAGTATCCGAAACAATATCGGTTAGTAAAAAAATCGATTACAGAATCGATATACTAATCGAAAGCTTGACCTAAAAGAATGTATTACGAAAATGATATCGACAAATAATGCGAAAAGTAAGTGAAAATATTAATAAAGACATATAGAAATCTAACAATTAATACATATCGCCAACCGAAAAGCAAAAAGCCATAACTAACGTCACTGAAATACAAAAAAGTTGAGTCAAATAATTTCTTTTTTTGCATAAACGCTGTGGGTGGAGATTTTTAATTCGATAAAATGCATCATACCAATCAAACACCGAATTTCGAATTTTTTTTTATTAGTTATGGCTTTTTGCGTTACAGGTAACGATTTGTATGTATGACAAATAGGGATAACAAGTACAAAAAAAAACTAATTTAACGATAATATTATGGTGAAACGGCAAAAAATCAAAGCTCAATAAAACGAAAAATAAAAAAAATGGATAACAAACAACAAGTAATTTTTAAGCAAAAAATATTACCGACTTCAATGCTCATATAAAAATATAGGGCTACCGTTAATTTCTTCATGACACAATGATCGGAACTAAACGAAATTGGTATGGAACCACCCTTGAGCTGCCGATAAATAATGGAAAATGGTTCACGTGGTCCAAAGTTATACGGAAACATACATAAAAATATATTCCGATGAATTGACAACCTTCCTAATTTTTTTGAAGTCGGTTGAAAAGCGAGAAAAACATATAGAAAAAGCATTTTCCACACATATTGTCAAAAATATTGCCAAAACAAAATCGATTAAATTATTTATGATGATTTATAGAAAATTATCGATATCGATTAAAGTAATTTATCGTATATAAAGTATATAAAGAGCGTAAGACATAACCGAACGAGACTTCAAGGTAGAAAAAAAGTCCATAA